ATGATATTTGATGTTACGCTGTTATGTGTAGAAATGTGATGATAGATATGTTGAGCTGAGCTGTAGTTGTTAAATATTGTTGTGTTGACTAGTTGATAATGCTGAATTATGATGTTGAGCTGAAATTGATGAATATGTCGTGCTGTTAGATGTTATTGCTGATTAAGGATGTTTAGGCTGTGCTGTAAGTTGTTTAGCTGAGCCGTAAGCCGCTATTGCTGTATGCTGATATTGTTGTGCTGTAAGTTGTTTAGCTGAGCTGTAAGCCGCTATTGCTGTATGCTGATATTGTTGTGCTGTAAGTTGTTTAGCTGAGCCGTAAGCCGCTATTGCTGTATGCTGATATTGTTGTGTTGTAAGTTGTTTAGCTAAGCTGTAAGCCGTTATTGTTGTATGTTGATATTGTTGTGCTGTGCTGAGATGTATGCTGTTATAGCCACTATTGTGGTGCTATTATAGTCGCTATGTCGGTGTTGTTATAACCACTAATGTGGTGTTGTTATAGCCGCTAAGTCGGTGCTGTTATTGCTGTTATGCAGTGCTGTGCTCCGTGCTGATAGGAGCTGTTGTAGGTCGGAAGGCTGAGCTGTTGATCACTAAGACTAGAGGAGATGTTTTCGAAATTCCCCATCCCATTGTGTGGATTGAGTGGCTGTGGTGCTCTTAGAGCCCAATTTGTTGAAAACCCTCCCTGGAAAACTGACCCTTGGAGTGATAACTTGTTGTTCTCCTCTAAGTTCTTAGTGGTCCCGTGTGTGGGCAAGGTCGAGGCACACGTGTATAAAGCGACCACGGTATAGGGGCCAAGTCGAGCTATACCGCTTACAAGCGACCAATACTAACTTATATGCATGACGACACATTGTGTGTTTACCGCTGTGTACTTCTGTTTACTGCTGTTATTGCTGAATGATGTGAGATGTGTGTTGTTATATATATATATATATATTACGCTGATGTTGTTAAGATGATTGATGTGCTGATAACTGTAGTTGTTTACTATTCATATATTTATATATGTATGGTGTTTCTTTTCACTAGCTTACCCTTTGTTGTTTCCATGTGGTTTGGACTGCGATGATCATACTATGTATGGGAGCAGAGCAGGGTTAGGTTAGTGTGCTTAGAAGAGTCTGCAACTGGCAGATGGCGTTTGTTTTTTTTTTTTTTTTGTATTTAGCTACTTAGTGTAGCATTGCTGGTTGTATTTTGTACACTTTGACTCTAGCCAGATTTGGACCTTGTATATATATATATTCTAGACACTATATGTATATACTTGTTCTTTTCTATGTGATGTTCTGATGTGCTGTGCTGTGTGTAGTGACCAGTCAAGTTGTTACACTTTAGTACTCATGCTGAGCCGTGTGTAGTGTATATATATATATATATATTCTAGACACTATATGTATATACTTGTTCTTTTCTGTGTGGTGTTCTGGTGTGCTGTGCTGTGTGTAGTGATCAGTCGGGTCGTTAAAATTTGCTTATTTTGTGATTATCTTTAGTATTAGAGATGAAAATAAATCGAGTCTTATAATATCCGTTATTATATACACGTTTAAAAATAATATGTGTACTCAATCTTAAACAAATAATAAAATTGAACAAATCCTAATATTTTAGTGAATTTATCTTCATGCTATTATTGAGATGATACATAAGAGGTGGCAATTATGTCTAATTGTATTTGTTATTAGTTGATTATAGCTTAATTATATATTGTATCTTTTTAGCTTCCGGACAAAATTAGACGAATGTGAATAACATTTTGAAGTTATCTTTCAATTTCATCTATTTGTATTTTATCAATAATTTTTACAAATCCTTCTTACACATGAAGGATTCAACAATATTATATTAGCAGACTCACCATTAAAAATAACATTGTTCCTATATAGACCAAATTGTGGCAAACCATATTACTCACTAAGCCCTTTTTAATCTTTTCCCTGTTAAACCATAGTTATGTTATTCAAAATGATTCTTGCTAAAATCAGACATCACCACTAGTATCCCAAGCCACTCATAGCACTTTTTTCATATCTATGAAGAGAAAGAAAATGAAAACAGAGAAGGCATGAAAATATTAAATAAACATCATTGAAAGAAGAAGGAAAAAAATTATGCTTATTTCAATGTTTATGAGGTGCGTTGATGAGGAATGGAGTGCAAATGAAACTAACTAGTTTTCCTTGTATGTGACTATACAAATATAATAATCTATGGACCAATTGCATAAAAACTAATTTTTGTGAAGGATATTTTTGTCAAACAAGAAAAGGGTGTTAAAGAGAAAAAGAGGGTGGCACAAATAACATCACCCTTGTATCATTTTCATATCTCCTTGCTGGGCCCATAACCATGAATGCTTATGATTCATTTAAGGCAGATGATAAACACACCTCCACCCTCTTATAAGCACACCTTCTTTTTTAAAAAAAGTATATAAAATATCTAAATTATCCTTAAAAAAAAGAAATTTCGCACCCCACACCCTCCTTCCCCGCACCCCACAACCCCATTCTTCCTAAAGTGACAAACATTGTAGTCCGCAATTGCACCTCCAGTTTCTCTACAGTGACCAGGTCTCTATTATTACCCAAAAGCACGAGGCCCGCCCCAGTTGCAGCTTGTGTGGCTGCTGCATTGCATTGAAAAATGTGAGCATGGAAGGAAACGCGCTCAGCGGCATGATTCCGACGGCGATTTCAGCGCTTCTGAGGCTTCAGGTAATGTCGCTCTCTGAGAACAACCTCACCGGCTACGTTCCGGCTTCGGTTTTCTGCAACTGTTCGGTCCACGCGCCGTCGCTGCAGATTGTCCATCTCAGATTCAACGGTTTCACGGATTTCGTGGGGCCTGAGACGAGCATGTGTTTTAGCGTTCTTCAGGTTTTGGATATTCAGCACAATCGCATGCGAGGCACGTTTCCGTTGTGGTTGACCAACGTGACCACGTTGACCGTGCTTGATGTTTCGAGCAATACACTTTCCGGCGAGGTTCCGGCTCAAATAGGAAACCTCGTTAAGTTGGAGGAGCTGAAGATGGCTAATAATTCCTTGTCTGACGCCACTGTAAAGTAACTGGGGGTGCAATTACGGACTACAATGTTTGTCACTTTAGGAAGAAGGAGGGTGTGGGGTGTAGGGTGTGGGGTGTGGGGGTGCGGAGAAGAGGAGTGTGGGGTGCGGGGAAGGGGGTGTAAATTTAAGAATTTCATCTTTTTAAGGGTAATTTAGACATTTTATATATTTTTTTAAAAAAAGGGGGTGTATTTATATGAGAGTGGAGGTGTGTTTATCATCTGCCTTCATTTAAACTATACCATACTTTGTTTCTTTGTTGTTGAGGCCTGAATTCGTGACCCAAAATTGGAGGTTTAGTGCCGAGTCAAATTATTCAATGTACAGAACTAATAAATTAGATTATAAGTCAAGTTTAGCTTTAGCATTCAAAAATTTAAAAACGTTAACCAACTAAAAAATAAAAATCTCTTAAATTTGTCTCACTTTCTTTTTGACCAAAAATTTGTCTCACTTAAGATCAGTTTTATTCTTTATTATCAACCAATCACTTTTATTGTAAAATAAAGGTAAAATTATTTTTTTGTCATTAAACTTAAGTGAGATGTGTGTCCAATTTAATCCCACGCATAAATCTTACCTTAAAACGTATTAAGTTGCAATGGGAATAATTGATTATGGCGTTGCGAAGGGACTTAGTTAAACGAGGCAAATCTAAAATTTGAGATTATATATTGATTTAAAAATACGAAGCTTTAGTTTTTCTCACTTAGTTTATTTATGACTTTTTTTTATCAAAATATCTATTAATTTGAATTTTTTTATTGATTTAGTATTTAACAAGTATCATAAATTTAGAAAGTGAAGTAATTAAAATGGTATTAATTAAAACTATAAATTTGTATTTATAAAGATAACTTAATATTGGAAAATAATTTTTTCATGATGGAAGCCATATTTTTGTAGAAAAATTATAGTTGCACATATTTTAGAAAATAATTCTTACAAATTAAACTTGGGTAAATCATATATATAGAATGACAATAAACAAAACTACATTATTTTTTAAACTAATTTTAATAAATAAAAGGCTAAATTATAATTTTAATCATTAATAATATTTAATGGGATTTGGAGAGGTTATTCGGGATAGTGTGGGGAGATGACCGGGTGGTTTTGCTAGTTCAGAGATAGGGGGTAATTCTTTGCGAGCTGAACTTTTGGCTATAAAGGAAGGATTATCTTTGTGATAGAACACGCTATTTAGAATAGGAATCTTGTTCATAAACATAGAGATATAATAAATAAATCAGAGATTTGAGGGAGAGAGATTGGCGAGTTATATTTGTTAGGATCCTGAAAGAAATTAATCAAATAGCTCATGTTCTTGCAAGTTGGAAAGTTAGGCTAGGGGCTCAATATGTAACATGGAGGAGTCTTCCAAATTTTGTATTTCAAGTGTAAGGGGAGGATCTTTGTTACCTACACTAGTTTCATTTCTTTCTAGTTTTTTGTCTTTTATTTTTTCCACAACACCAAAAAAAAAAACTAAGATGTTTTGGTCTCAATATTTTAATTTTGTAATTTTAGTCTTCTAACTTTAAAATTTTATAATTTTGATCTTACTATTAAATCTTCATTTGTTGACATTCAAATTATAATATTGATCATAATTTTATATTAAGTAGATGACATAATAATTAATATTTAATAATATTTAAATTATATTTATAATTTTATAAGATAAAATTAAGAAGTGCAATTTATTAAATATTAGTTCTCATGTACTTAAAGTCATATTATAATTTTAACAATCACATATGAAAAATTTAAATGAAAGATCCAAATTGCAAAATTTTATAAATTTAAAGAACTAAAATTGTGAAATTAATAGAAGGGCCAAAATACAATTTTGGCTAAATAAAATTATAATGATCAAGGTAATACTTACGTATATATAGCTGTGAGCAAAAATTATTAACGAGAAACCTATTGTTTAACTTAATTAACTCATTACCAACCTTAACTTTGAAATTGTTTGTTTAGTTAAATAAACACGTTTCATCAAGTAATTAATGAGCTAAACTCTAACAGTTGATGAATAACTCAACTCATTTTCTACACTGTAACCTTACATCTAACTAAAACACAACATTTTTTAAACCTAGAGTTTAATTTACGTATAGATCTTGCATGTACTGACATATATAATGCAAAAGTTCTGTATCCAGATTGTGCTACTGTTGGAGATGCAATTTCAAGTGAACTTTGGTGATAATCAATGGGATCCCCTCAGTACACCACACTCTCCCCTTGACCTTCTTGATGATTCTGCATCATGCATGTTCAAAAGCTTTGTAACAAAATATCTAATAACACAAAACTTGGAAAGTTCTTTCCATTGTATTCTCCACTTAAATGATGACACCTGGAATATTTATGTAAAATTCTGCAATACATGTTTAATGAGGGTTATTTATTATTATTAGAAGGAAATATATATCATGTAACATTAATAATGCTTAAAAAAAATTTCGTTTCATGTATGTATTGTTTTTCGCTTTTTGTCCCTATATATTTTTTGGCTTAACTATTAGTCACTGTAATTTTTTATTTTTTTTGCTTCAGTCCCTATCATGATTTTCTTTTTACTATTTTAGATGATGTCTCAAGATTATATGACTTAAATTTATTTGAAACAGTATCAAATGTTTGACATGTGATTCAAAATAATGAAAAAATTTACCACATAAACCAAAAACAAACCAAAAAAATTTACAGATTAAGCTTATAAATAGAGAACTTGATGGTAGGGTTAGGGTTGTTCCAACAAAAAAAAATTGAACTGATTGTAAATTGAACTGAGTTATAAAAATTAAATTATTTCCATAAAAAATTGAATTATTTCTATAAAAAAAAATTCAAATTAGACTATTTGAAAATTAAATTGAATTAAACTTAACTATAAAAATTAAATTATTTATTAACAAATAAAACAATTTACTTGAATAATCAATTTTCGGAACAAATAAAACAATTTACTTGTACAACTATTTTTCAATTAATCAGTTTCATTTGAACTAACTATTTCTTTAATTCATTTCAATTCAGTTCTTCAATAATTCATATCAGTTCAATAATTTTTTAACACTCTCCTTGATGGCAAGTTTATAGGAAAACTTGAAAAGCCATATATTAAGTGAAAAAAGTGAAAACAACAAGTGTTACCTGCATTTGAGTGCAAATCTCAATGACTTCAGCTATAGGTGCCCAATCACCAAAGTTCCTCTCTATAAACTTTGAATCTATTCCACGCTTTCCCATCCCTATTATGAAGAGTCCACCTTTTATTTCACCTTCACCTTTGAAATTGTACTCAATGTCCATGGCTTTTGCACGTTTGTAATTGGAAAGTGCTCTAGGATTCAGCAAGAACCCTGATAGGAACTTCTCCTTCAGCAGTTTTCCCCCTCCAAGGGCCTTAAAGAAGTCCCTACCTCGATCAAGAAGCACCACACCACCCCAGAATCGAGGCCAGAAATCATGTACCTGCTTTGCCATAGTATTTATGATTAGTCAAAGCCATGAATGGTTGAATTGAATGAAAAAACATATGTGGCTGATGGATGCTGATACCTCTGACTCTATGTGCTCATGAAGAACTGCAAATAGTTGAACCCCAAGTGCATCAAATATGGCTTTTCTGGAATAAAGCTGGTGTGCCTCAGCTCTACACATGATGCACCTGTTTTCATTTTCAAGAGACATCAATATGCCACCAAGCTTCACTTTCATGTAAAGATATAAAACACCCTAGTTTAGTTGTAAGTGATAAAAACAAAGAGTGATATATTTACATAAAAAAAGAAAAGTTACTAGCAACACTCTTTATAATATATGTTAGAATATAATCAAACTCTCACATCATTAAAATAATAAAATAAACAAAAATTTATAAAGTATAAACATACTCGATTGATATCAAAAGCAAATTCATAAGTTTTGGAGATGTGAAAAATACGTAACGAACAATAATGTTCCTCTTGAAAAATATACCCCTCAAACAAGTACAAAAATAACCCAACAATATAGTCATTTCTGTCATGTAAAATTCACTTAGGTCCCACTAAATATGTGGGTTTCACTCCCAAACTAGGAGACTCCATGAGCTTTAAACAATGAAAGAAGGTGATAGAGAATGTGTTGGTGGCACTCGTGTTTTCTAAGGCTACATTTTGTTATATTTTTGTGTTGTTTTGTTGCTCAAGATATCCTTTAATTAAGAATTAGAGATTAATCTCTTCAAATACAAAGATCTATTTTAGGGATTAATCTCTTACAAAATATGCTCTTTCATGCACAAGGACCTAAGAATTGAATTCCTGACCACATATTTAAATATCATAGTTATCTGCAATTATACTAAACCATGTTGGATGTTTGTATCTTGTTCATTTATAGTATTGGCCTTATGCATATAACAATTATGCTAAATTGAAATACATATGCTAAATTGGCAATTCTGAAGTGTAATAATACTATAATAGCATAACAAATTACCCTGGTCTTCGGAGACACAGGAAAACAGCTGGTTTATCTCTCCACAGTTCTGAAGCCTTCAATGGAGGTGCCTTGGTTTTCACCAAAGGTTCCATGCCAATCTTATACTCGGGAGTTAGTTTCTGAACCGAAATACTCTCAACAGCAGCATAAGGAGCAACTTGGTCACTGATAGGAGGTGGATTCACACAGCCACATGCTCTAGGCTCAGCTGGCTCAGCAGCCACAATACCCTTAAACACATACCCTTCTTTAATCTTCATATCAGCCATTGGTTGTTCAAGTGCATCAAAAGCTGTATTGTTTCTCACGTGTGATCTTGCCAGGCTATTGGAGCTAATAGACCCTACACTTTTGGCGATGCTATCATCCCTATGAATCATGCTGTTTCTTCTTCTTGCAGCAATTGCACGCAACTTGAAAGAATAATCATTGCTTGTTCTGTTTACAAAACGAGCAATGTGGCCTCTCTTCATTTCGAATTGTGTAGAGAGATCTGTAGTGCTTAAGTTGATAAGCTCTGACAAACTTTTTTCACAATCCTCCATCTTATCTGCATATTGCATCAAGCCACGATCATGCAGGTAGGACCTGATTCCAAGTGCGTCCTATAACATTAGAAGCATAACACATTAAGAAGGAAAACACGTAATGAAATATTTGGATACATATCTAAAAGGACTTCTAAAAGCTTCTCTACAAGAAATTACTCTCTATTTTCAGTAAAGAAACTCTCAATAATATTTCTAGACTATATCCAAACAAGCTCTAAGAAGCATATAGTTCAAGTAAGGATCATATATGTTTCTGTTGGTGTGAAATGAGATCAATTGTTGTCAGCTAACACCTATTGATTGGTGCCAACGGATATTTTATACATACAATTAAATTTGATTTTAGGCCTTGTAAATTTTAATTCTTTTTTTGGTAAATAATCACCCTCGTTACTTAATAATGACATGACATACATTTAAATATATGACTTCAGTAACCATTTTGAGATAACATGTGAACTGAAATGCTAGTGAGTAATATAGAAACTCATTCCAAAAAAGGTAAAATTATAAGAATCAAAACTAACAAAACAAACTTTTAAAAGACTAAAATCTTATTCACATTTGCAGGACTTAAAATACATTTAGAGTTCGGTAAACTTCTCCATGAGTATTTTTAGGAGAGAAAAATAGAAAGGAAAAATGTAAGAAGCTTTTCAATAAGCTACAATCAACTTATGCTTAAGTTAATTTGTAGAAGTTTCCTCTTTTAATTTCTTCATAATCTTAATTTTTAACTTATATATAAGTTAGGTTTAATTTATGGAAAAACTTATTTTAATTTTCTTTTGTTATTTTTTTTCCTTCTAAAAATGCTTCCAGAAAAATTTATCTAAAACAGACCCTTACTCCTTAATCAAAAGTTAGGATTGGACTAGTACGATAGAATGCTATCAAGTAAATGATAGAAGTCTCATTCTTAAGGACATATGATTGAATGATAAGAAAATATGATGAAAGACTTGAATAAAAACTAATAATAATGCAAGTGAGAACCCACCTTTTGCTTTTCTGTCATGTGTAACAAATCCATGTCGTCTGAACTCATAATCTTCAGAGTTGGTACATCATCCCACCCTTCTTCCAACAACTTTTGGAGCAGTCCCTGCAAAATTCCATTTCCTATGAATTCTTCCACTGAGAAAGAAGCCATTTTTTCCTTACTATGATTGGTTGCTCTGGATGAGTATGATTCAATGTGCAAACAATCTTGTCCTACGAATGTCATTAAATGTACAGACAAAATTCTTGTTCAGCGAAAGCATTTACCATTGCGTATATATAAGCCCTTCTTGGATGATATAATTTACTGTCTTAGGTTAATGATGTGACAATATGGTTCAATATTTTTCTGAGGCTAACCAATCCATTTATCCTGCCGTAGCATCAATTTATTTAAAGAAATCATTTTCATGCAACAGACATATACAACAATTCATACAAGTAAGAGAGAGAGTAATGTGGGATAAGTGATGTAATGAAAGATAAAAAGAAAAGAGTATTTGACACATTATTATATAATTTTGTTATATGAATATGATATTGCATATATAAGATAGAAAAACAAAACAGTTTTTTTTTAACTGTCTTTCTAGTTCTAGTTTCTAATTGTTTTTAAATGAAGTGAATGAGAGAATTCTGTGCAATTTGTAATTTGAATTCCGTGTGTAAATCATATCATATTGGTTTAATGCCATGTCACTTTGTTCAAATACTGCTCCACATATCATGGTGTTACAGCCAATAACAAAATCAATTAGGGGTAGAAAATGGAGACCATAATACAGTACGAAAAAACAAAATTAAAACTAATATAATATATCTAAGACCGTGAAAGATAGCAAAAAATAAAAAAAGTTGGGAGAACAATTCAAGGTTTAAAAGTGGGAGGGAAGTTCCGGCATATCGACTAAGAGTTGACAGGCCAAATTTGGAGGTGCATTTGGCAACTTTTTCAGCTGCTTCATATCACTAAATTGTTTTTATTTGCCGGCCAAAACCTGCTCTAATAGTATCTAGAAATGGTCAATGGAGTAACGATTTTTAAACACTGCATCTAATCACTTAAATACCATATTATTTTTATCTCTATTTTTTATCACATTATTTCACCTATCATACATAGGCTTCTCTTACTTTGATTTCTCTCTTTCTAGGTGTTTTATAGTATTTGTGTATCCAAAAATTATTTTTGTTGTCCAACTCATGCCGTATAACTAAGTTATCACAAGGTACAAAGTGAAAATGAAAATGCCATCAACTGCAGGGTGCTGCGCGTACTGAGAGATTTCTTAGAACTCTCTCATTTTTATTGAGTTACTATTATATAAATATGAAGTATTTACTAATTTTATTATCTTGTTATCCTTAATAGAATCTCCTATTCCAACTATATTTTTTTCTCACATTTTAACATTAGTCAAACTTGTGAAAAATGACATGTTAGTTATTTTTCTCCAATTTAAACAGGAGATAGATTCATTTTATAAAAAAAAAAAGTTAATATTTTTATCTTTTTATTTACTTATATATTACGCAATATCAATTTTTTACACCATATTACTCAATATCATTAAAAATGGCGACAACTGATTTGTTATCTCGAAGAGCCGAAACAAAGGTTTACAACTATAACGGGTTTTAGATATCAAAGACCTAGGACACATCTTTGTTTAGATATAATAAGATGCTAAAAGTAATAGTGAGTGTAAAAAAATTTACTACGTCAATTTAATTTCTAATATAATGTCTGTAAAAATTAACAACTTTATCATATATAATAAAATGAAATAAATACAATTAGATATTTAAATTGAACTCTAAATATAAAAGGCAGAAATTGACAAAGTATTACCAGAAATTCTTTATTTTTCCTCAACCAACAATTGAAAAACACTTCAAATGTAATTTTAAGAAATTTATTACGAAATAACTTATAAGCAAATAATAATTCATAACCAAATGAGATTATAAAATACTCACATTATCATTATACTCCAACTACATTCCATGTACAAACTGCTGTCCCTAAATAATTTAAAATATTTGCTACACTGTAAAACTTTTCCAGACACCCAATTATTACATGTGCAATTTACTGCAACATTCAAAAACCCCTAGTATGTTTGAATGGATGTATTATAAATTTATAATCAAACTTAAATACATCCACCTAAATATTTATACAACTTCCCATTAAATATCAATTAAGTCTTCAATTTTGTGTTTTCAATTAAAACTACGTATGATACCATCCATGAGGGGAAAGGGAACAAGAAAAATCTTTACTTGAAACAACTTGCACCTAAAAGAATGATACAATACGACAAGACCATGAAGTAACAAAAATGTGTCCACCAACGAACACTATCTCAATTTCATCCCCATAGGATTTGCCCCTTAAGACATTACAATTCTCCTTCAGCACTATGAAATCATGAGAAAAAATCAGTCTCCTTTCCATCTTCACCTTTCTATGCATCCATTCCCTATAATGCCAAAATTTAAACTTATTCTATGAGGGTATATTGTTCCTAATCAGTTGTCCAAGGATCACTCTCTGCGATGACTTCAGAAGGTTCATAAACCTCTGGCTCTGAAGATTCTTCACCTGTGCTTGAATCAGTTTCAACAGATGCATCTCCCTCCTCTTCTTCTGATCTACCCCATCTTCCTCCCAAGGCCAAGGCCATCATTTCATAAATCTTATTTCCCAACTCAGAAGGACTGTCAGGCTGCATTATTCAGAAACCATGTTAAGCAAAACTACAAATAGACTATGTTGCAACAAATCTTATCACACATCGTTTGACTTGGTTAAAGACCAAATATTAATGTTACACAAAGAAAAGAAATAAATTTATATTGTACTTACAGAAAATCCACTAGAAATTAGTGCTGTGTCATATAAAAGGTCGACCGCTCTCTTTGCTTCACTGCTGTCGGGTGCATTCTTGCAGGCAGCCTGAAGGAAAAAAAATAAAAAAAATAAAAATAGGTCAAAGTCACAAAAATTCCTCCTTTAATATATTCCTTTATTTCCCACCAGACCTTCAATATGGCAAAGGGAAAAGGTGAGAAAAAGGCTATGCATCAAAAAGGGAAAAAAAATTAACAATTTATTTATTTTTATATTTGCTTGTAAGACTGTTAGTTTACTTATAGTTTTGTCTTTAACATTTCAAAGAACCAACACAACAACATTACACTTCAGGAAATGCTACTTACTGGCATGCTACAATATCCAATGATCTAGCATGCTGGTATATTTTCCAAGATAAATGAACTTGAGAAAAGCTTTATGCTTTGTAGTGTAGTGAATCTAGTGATGATTATACTTGTTCTTCTTCCCCAAACTTTTACAAGAACTAAACATTAATTGATACTTCATCAATAATTTTCTTCAATTAATTCAGAATATTTTGTCTCTTTTCCACTTCCCTTATTATGTGACTTGGAAGGGAACACCGTTTATCAACAAGAATTGCCAATTAAGTAGACTCAACAGAAACTTTTATAATTCAATACTTGCACAAAAAAAGATAATACTGATTGAAGATACCCACAGCCTTGCTAAAAGTGTTTCACGTTTCTACAGGGAGTAAAATATCATTTTATCATGTTTTACATTGATCTATACTGATTTAAAGATGCTCACAACCCACCCAGAACAAAAATTGCAATTTGTCATCTTCTCTCAAATTTGGCTCTCAATTCTTCCCTTTCTTACCATGACACTACGACGAAAGTGTACGTTTTGTGTGCAAAATATCAGAAAACTTGATAAAAAAACAAAAAAAAAATAGTAACTGCTTGTTAATCAACAAACTCCATACTGACAATGCCAACTTACACTTAAGTCTTTGATAATGGGGTGATCTGTATTGATCTCCAATATTCTCCTACCCCTCATAAACTCCAAACTTGAAGTATCTCCAAGAGCTTGAGCCTTCATTAGTCTGAAGAAATGGAAATTCAATATTGTATAAGCCTTAAATCATGAGAATGATAAACTGTTTGTGATCCAGGATAATGGCTTGTAAAGTCAATGAGGCAATCACTAACCTCTCCATGTTTGCAGACCAACCAAACTTTCCTGATACAAGCACACAAGGAGATGAACTCAATCGCTTTGAGATTTGAACTTTTGCCACCTTCTCACCAAGCTGTTGTTTTATCCAATCACAAAGTAAGTTGTATTCTTGTTTGTTTTCCCTCTCTTTGACCTCATCCTCATCACCTGTTTTGAAAAATGTTTTGCGAACCACATTCAAATCCCAATTCCAAGGAAACAAAATAGTATTTGAGCAGATGCAAGTCAGATAAAAACAGTACAAACCTAATTCCAAATCCTCCTTGCTGATATCAACAAATTTCTTTTCTTTGTATGTCTGTAGGTTCTGAATGGCAACCTCATCAATAGGTTCAACCAAATAAAGAACCTACAACAATAGACACAAATAAGTAAAAGAGTGAAAAACCAAAAAAGAAAAACAGTAAAAATTTATATGCTATATCAAGCATTTCAATCATATCCACAACTAGTTTATTTAAACACACGCCAAGGCACATAAATAGCCTGACCCTCCACAGGAAGCCAGGGTGCTGCAGAGAGAGGCCAGGGACAACCCCACCTGACAACCTTGGATGTCACCTTACTTGACCAAATTCCCTGATTGCATGCTCAAATTATCAAAAAAATGTTGACAAGTAGACATACCTCAATATCTTTCTGAACCAATTTCTCCAAAAATGGAGCAGTCTTTGCACTCTTCAAGCTATCAGTAGCTAGGTAAAAGATAGCCTTTTGGTTTTCACCCATGTTTTCAACATAATCATCTAGGCTTTTGAGTTCCTCCTCACTTTTGGAAGTGTAAAACCTCAATAGTGGTGTTATGCGCTTATGATTTCCAGTGTCTTCGATGCATCCTAATTTTATGAACCTACCGAAGTTCTCCCAGAATTTCTTGTAATCCTGGAATCACAGGAAACAAACATTTCAATCTATAAAGAGTTAAAGACTCTAAATTCATGTTGAAAATATAAAAAAAATGCTGAGTTTGTGACTACCAACCTCTTTATTTTCACTTTCAGCAAGGTCTTGAATCATATCAAATGCCTTCCTGACAAGTCTCTTCCTCATTATTCTTACCTGAAATCATCATAGTCAGAAACAAAAACATTTGGAAAGTAACACAAAGGAAAATTCATAAATAACCCCC